TATTCTCATCTTTTACTTAAGTGCAATCCTGTTGTCTGCTTTTATCCCCTAGAATATGTTGGGAACATGTTTCTCTATCAATAAATCTTTCTTCACCAGAATCTTTACCTGTTGTGCTGTATTCCAAATGTTTGTCTTTCTTTAAAAAACAAGCAAACTAACAACTGGAATGATGTGGATCCATGAGTTGTAGTCATGATGCTTCCCTGAGTTAATTCTACATGTTACAGAAACAGGCCAGGGGGTTATAAAAGACTTAAAAAAAGTCTTTCAAAGACTGTCTTTGCAGCAACTTTGACTGAAAGGTAGCAGTGTTTCCCCACATCTCCTACCACAACTGTCCACACACGGCCAATTCTCTGTCCCACAATACTTACTGGTACCTCTGAGAAGTCACTTACAGTCCCTGAACATCACAAAGGTGGTTTGGAAAGAGGTGGAGAAAAGGGGGGAAAAAGAGACGGAAGACCAGAAAGAAAGGGGAAAAAAAAAAAAGCAAGAGGTAGTATGATAAATGCAGCGCAGAGGGGGGAAGACCCAAGACCCTGGCTCGGCTGCAGCTGGTACCAGCCAGAGCCACCTCCTCCCCAGGGCTATGGGAGCTTTTCCAATGAGGTCACGCCCAATCCTCTCCCTAACCTCCCCACTTCTGATTTTTAAATGCCTGCTCGCTCACTATCAAGCTTTTCAAATGCTTACATCTGGGCTGCATTACCAAAGAGGCCTTTGTGTTTGTGGAAGATAATTTACAGCTGCAGATAACAACTGGGGCCTGGAGGAGTCCCTTGGCCGCCTGGGGGCGTCTGGACTCACAGGAAAGCAGAGGATGGGTTACATGACTTATGGGGCGTCAATATACACATGTGTCACACCTAGAGTTAGCACTTACCACTGAGATTTTGTAACTAAAGCAAAGACAAAGGTTTAATTCTGGAATTCATCAAGGGAGAACTAAGTGCCTTCACTTGAAATGTTTTCTTCCCTCCCTGCAGAAGCTGCATGTGTTTCTGAGCTGCTCCCTGCACCCTGGGAGATATTAACCAGGAGAAAGTCTTGCCCTGTAAATCTGAAGGATGCAAGTGTTTAGCGTGAAACAGTGAAACGATGTTGCTGTTTGGTCTCTAGGTTGTGTCTGACTCTTTGCAATGTGCCAGGCTCTGTGAGATTCTCCAGGCAAGAATACTGGAGTGGTTGCCATTTCCTACTACTGGGTATCTTCCCAACCCAGGGATCGAACTCCCACCTCCCACACTGGTAGGCGGATTCTTTACCACTGAGCCTCCTGGGAAGCCCAGTGAAAGGATACAGGTCAAATATGTGCCCCAGTGACTGCCATAAGGTTAATGCTACATTTTAATAGAGAAGAAACCTCTTCAGAGCAAAGCTTTATGGTATTTTTCTTTTTCATAAACACTATAGTTTTTTTTAAAAAATGATACTTTCTTATATTTGCATATTACTCTACAAAGTTATTTTGTATCCCCTGATCTCTTTTTAATTCACAACCAACTTGCCCAAGATCACACTCACTATCTCCAGGACACAGTATCAGAATTTGGGCCAGGAAAGTGGAACTTCTTGGGGACTGTAGGGGTGTACTCTTTAAAAAATTTCCTACAGTGATTCAGATACGTGGCCCTTCTCCTCCTGGGGAAGCTCTGAAATGCAATGTACCTTTTCATCTTATGGCTTCTATTACAGTGATCATTTGTTCACTGTAGAAATGCCATCACTTACTGAATTTATCTTTACTGTTGGCATTTGGATATCTTTCTTTTTATTTATGTATTTTTGTTGCACTGCAAGATCTTAGTTCCCTGATCAAGGATTGAACCTGGGCCCCAGCAGTGAAAGCACAGAAGGAAATCCCCTACATTTGGATATCCTTAATTGTTAGCAATGAAAAGAGCAGTTATGTACATCCATCTGACACATTGCTTCTTTCTCTGTGTGCACTGACCACTCAGCAAGTGTGTACTTCGGTTTCCATGAGCAAGCAACTCATACCTGCTAGTGGGAAAGGCAGTGACCTTGAAATCAAAAGAGACCATGTGTATTTCTAGAGGCTTCTATGGCGACTATGTGTCCAAATAAAATCAAATGCTCGTTGGTTCTATTCTTCAGTGACTCACATCTGTTGTCACGTTAGGCAACCTGGGGCGGGTAGCGGCAATGTCTGTTAGGACATAAGTTCAGCAGTGGTCCTGTTGACTCAGAAGAGGAGGCTAGAGACCCTCCGAGAGACCAGTGACTTCACCGGGGTGGCTACTGTGCCATTTGAGAGACCCCTGAAAAACTGCATTCCACTCACTGACCTCGGTCAGTTCACTTATTTCCTTGAACCGCATTCCACTCACTGACCTCGGTCAGTTCACTTATTTCCCTGGTGTATGCTTTCTGCTCTATCATTTCTTTAATTAAATTGAAGTACCAACAAGTCCTTAATTGGAATAATAACAAAGACTATTATGATCTCACTGCATAGTTGGCAAGAAGAATTAAGTGAATAATTAAAAACCTGATAAGGGCTTTTAAACATGTGAGTGGTTAAGGGAAAGTAAAGCTAAGTGATTATGGGACACTTGTGACATAAAGGCTGAAACTCAGAAACAGGCAGCAGACGACTTCTGACTCCCCAGAACCTGCTTTGGAAAGACAGGGCTGCCTTATGAGTGATTGCTCAGAAGGGAAGACTGAGCTTTCTCCCCTGGCATTTTGAGATAAAAAATAGATCAGAGAGTAGTGGTCAAAGAACTAGCGCTTGTTAAATTCTCCGAAGATATAAAGCTCTCACTGAGTAGTCAGGCTACAAAAGCACTGCATGTGTGCACAGAGATGGAAATACAGAGATGTTAGCTGCAAAGCACATCTTAATAAATCACTGGAAACAGCCTACAAGCTTAATAGGAGCCTGAACAGCTAAATTATGGATGTGCAAAGAAGTAAATTAGACTTTTATATACCCAAGGAAAGATCTGCTGAAGCTGAAGCTCCAATACTTCAGCCACCTGCTGAGAAGAGCTGACTCACTGGAAAAGACCCTGATGCTGGGAAAGATTGAAGGCAGGATGAGAAGAGGGCAACAGACGATGAGATGGTTGGATGGCATCATCGACTCAAGGACTTGAGTCTGGACAAACTCCAGGAGATGGTGAAGGACAGAGGAGCCTGGTGTGCTGCAGTCCATGGGGTCACAAAGAGCTGGACATGACTTAGTGACTGAACAACAACAACAAAGGAAAAATTTTCAGGTTAGGGGGGAAAAAAAAGTAAATCACCAAATAATTTATCAGTCTTATTTTTCTCTAAGAAGGAGAGCAAATTGGGGAAAGAGCAAGGGAGAGGCCTGGTGGAGAATAAGTCTTCTTATTCTACACTTTCAGGAAGTTTGAAATGTTTACAGTAATATTATAATTCTTTGTGAAAAAAGATACTGATTTATGTTGAGCCATTTCCCCTACACAATATAAGATGAAAGTTTTTCTATGCTTGGACCCCTGCTTAATTACTAATGTGTATTTTTTTTCTTATTGCTGCTGGTCTGTGTGTGTTTTCTTCTCCATTTCCATGGACACAGCACTCACATCACACTCCAGGAAACTCCTATTTTGTTTTCTCAGGATTTCTATGCACTTTTTCATACCGGCTACATCCTGGACAAATCACCATTATGCTACCTCCTTCCTGGGTTTTAAAATGTGACTTCTGGTGGTAAGGAAAAAAAAAATCTAAACCAGATTTCAGAGTAAAAAGCAAAAAACAAACTGGGGGCTGTCAATACTTTATTTACTGAATAATGAGCAGCCTCCATCCTCAATCACCATCAATTCATATTAAAAAACAAACAAACAAACAAAAAGGTAGGACAATCAGGACACCTTATTATCACACTTTCGGATTGCATGGAGCATAAGGAGGTTAAAAAAAGGTGTTTGTGGAAACTGACATGATTTTATCAGGTAATCAATCATTGTATAACCACGCCCCTCTCCAAAGAAAGACATGAAGCCTCCACCAACATGTCATAAAACAAGTATAGTCCAACATCCAAAAAATAACATAAGCTCAGAATACAGGTCTATTCTTCAGGTTGATCTAGCTTTATGAAAACATAATTAGATTTATGCGAAATCTTCTACCTTAGCTTATTTTATCATATTTGGCTTCAGACCAAGAAAACAAATTTATCATGAAAATATATCAAATTCAGGATTGTGGCGAGGGGCTATTACCTAGGAAGGGGTTCTCAGCAAAACTGGTAACATTTTATTTCTTAAGCTGGCTACAGGAACACGGGCATTGCTCTTTATAACATTTTATTATCTTTAATGTGAAAAAATATTTCTATCATTGGCCGACTATAAGAAACTACTGATTTAAAGGAATATATCCATGTCAGGAGAAAATAACTGAGGTCCATATGTACGGTTAAGTGATCTGCCCAAGCCCAGCTCAGAGAACAAATCAAGGATTCCTTCCCAGCAGTCTCTCTTCAGGAAATCAGAATGTAGATTTCTGCATTAAGGTGATTCTTTCCATGAGCAATTGTTTGCATTTTATTGTCTATTCCAATTAAGGTGTGAAACTATAAAATTCAATTATTTCCATAGTATCTAGAAACATACATACATATTTACATAATACGTAAACTAGTTTTTGTATACTTCAAATTATAAAAATCTAGAAATATGTTGAGTCAAAAGCAGGTTATGTATTGAAATATACTACATGTTTTTTAGCTCTACATAGATTCAAGAGCCTTTGAAAAACTAAAGGAAGGTGAGTCTATCCTTCATCTTCAAAGGAAACAGTTCTACACAGTATCTATGGTAACTCGTTCCCCAGACTAACACAGCAGAGAATCTCTTTCATATAATATTTTTTTTGACAGGTCTCTTCTTTTTTAAAATTCTTTATCTCTGATCACCAAGAATTTTTTTTTCTCTTAAAAACAAAAAAAAAGACCCGAGGGGATGGTGGGCGTGTCTCTGGATACATACCTCACAGAGAAGTACAAGATGGTTGGGCCTGGTTTCTTGGGTAAATCGTGGTCAAGGACTCGGTGGTCTAGCTGAAGCCAGTTCTGCTGACCCCTGTAAGAGTAAAACAAGGAAAAAGGATCACACAGAAAGCCACAGCAAGTTTCAAGAAACACTGTGTTGGCAGAGCTGTGGGGTAACAGTTACACTCACATGTGGATGGTAGGCGTATAACCTGTTACCACCAGTAATGGGGTCAACGGAGCAATTTCTACCAAGATTATAAAAGCACCTGCCTCTGGACCAGCACTTTCATTTCTGGGAGTTAATCAGGATAAAATCACACATGTGGACAATGGGCCATGTATAAAGCCACTCACTGCAGCGCTGTTTGTAGCAGCAAAAAGCCTCGAGACAACCTAAGCATCCAACAGGATATTGTTTTTAAAAAAATGAATGTAAACAGCAATGAAATACTATGCAGCCACACAAAAGATCAGAAGTATCTTTACAAACTTATCGTGAATGATTTTTAAAATACACTGTAAAGTGAAAATTAAAGATGCGCAACGAGTATAACGTATCGCCATTATTTTAATTAAAAAAAGAATACCTAGAATATGGGTATCTATATCATAGAAATAACTCAGAGAGTGCATCATAAAATGAACAAGAAACTGAAAACACTGGTTGCCTTTGAGGTAAAAGATAAATTTTTATTAAATACAAAACCTGACATATTTTAGATAATCAAGAAGGGAAAAACTTTTGTTTTAATGAAAAAGGACAAACACAGATAACAATACTACAGCTTTTATATGAAATATGGGGTTGACACACTAGTATATCCTCGAGTGTGAAGTCAAGTGAGCTTTAGGAAGCATCACTATGAACAAAGCCAGTGGAAGTGACAGAATTTCAGCTGAGCTATTAAAACCCTAAAAGATGATGCTGTTAAAGTGCTGCACTCAATACGCCAGCAAACATGGAAAACTCGGTAATGGCCACAGGACTGGAAAAGATCAGTTTTCATTCCAATTCCAAAGGACAGTGCCAAAGAATGTTCAAACCACCATATAACCACGCTCATCTCACATGCTAACGAGGTAATGCTCAAAATCCTTTAGGCTAGGCATCAACACTACGTGAACTGAGAACTTGCAGATGTAAAAGCTGGATTTAGAAAAGGCAGAGGAACCAGAGATCAAATTGCCAACATCCACTGGATCATAGAAAAAGCAAGAGAATTTCAGAAAAGCATCTACTTCTGCTTCATTGACTTTGCTAAAGCCTTAAAAGCCTTTGACTGTGTGGATCACAACAGACTGTGCAAAATTTTTAGATAGGAATACAAGACCACTTTACCTATTTAATGAGAAACCAGTATGCAGGACAAGAAGCAACAGTTAGAACTGGACATGGAACAACAGACTGGCTCCAAATTGAGAAAGGAATATGTCAAGGCTGTATATTTTTATCCTTTTTATTTACCTTTATGATGAGTACCTGATGTGAAATGCCCGGGCTGGATGAAGCTGGAATCAAGATTGTTGGGAGAAAAATAAACAATCTCAGATATGCAGATGACACCACCCTAATGGCAGAAAGTGAAGAGGAAACAAAGAACCTCTTGATGGAGGTGAAAGAGGAGAGTGAAAAAGCTGGCTTACAACTCAGCACTCAAAAAGCTAAGATCATGGCATCTGATACCATCACTTCATGGCAAATAGAGGGAGAAAAAATGGAAATAATGGCAGATTTTATTTTCTTGGGTTCCAAAATCACTGAGGATGGTGATTGTAGGCACAAAATTAAAAGACGCTTTTTCCTTAGGAGAAAAGCTGCGACAAACCTGAAGACAGTGTTAAAAAGCAGACATGTCACTTTGCCAACAAAGACCTGTTTGGTCAAAGCTCTGGTTTTTCCAGTAGTCGTGTAGGGACCATAAAGAAAGCTGAGCGCTGAAGAATCGATGCTTTCCAACTGTGGTGTTGGAGAAGACTCGGGGGTCCCTTGGACCGCAAGGAAATCAAACCAGTCCATCTTAAAGGAGATCAACCCAGAATATTCCTTGGAAGGACTGATGCTGAAACTCCAATACTTTGGCCACCTGATGCAAAGAGGCGATTCACTAGAAAAGACTTTGATGCTGGGAGAGATCGAGGGCAGGAGGAGAGGGGGCGACAGAGGATGAGATGGCTGGATGGTATTACTGACTCAATGGACATGAATTTGAGCAAACTCCAGGAGATAGAGAAGGACAGGGAAGCCTGGCTTGCTGCAGTCCATGGGGTCGAAAAGAGAGTTGGATATAACTTAGTGAGTGAACAACAAGACTAGTATATACAGAATAGAAAACTAACAAGAACCTAGCGAATAGCACAAGGAACTCTATTCAATACTCTGTAATGACCTATATGGGGAGAGAATCTAAAAAAGAGTAGATATATATGTATGTATTACTGACTCACTTTGTTTACAGTGGGAAACCAAAATAACACTGTAAATCACCTATACGTCAGTAAAAAATTAATTTAAAAATAAAAATACAGGGTCAAATACTCTCTGGGAGCTGTTTTTGGGTATATATTATGGACTTCCTACTATTTAACGATGTATCTGACAATTCGTTCAAGGGCTTCACTAAATTCTTTGGCATAAACATTCTCCTGCAATTGTGACCTGAGGGATGGAAGACACTGTGGCTGGGGATTATTGACATGACTTTCCCACTAGTTGATCCATTTTAGATTGCAAATTCCCAGAGGGCAGAGACTTCATTTGCTTGCTTAGGCAAAACTTCATGCTGATAGTGGTGTATATAGCGTCAAATTATAACAAAACTGATAATGATTCAGGAGATGGCTTCCAAACTATTTTGGTCTTTGAATAAATAATGTTTTTTTCAAAATCAGAAAACTCTAAGCTGTATTTACTGTAAGTATTTAGGAAATGGAGGTAAGAATAATAATAATGACAATAATAGCTAATTTTTATTGAGCAAGTACTTAGTGCCAACCAACCTGGTACTTTTAAAAAATATTAATACTGTATTTTATAGTAAGTCTGCAAAGAAAATGAGCAGAGCTAGGATTTGAGCCCAGACTTTGAATACAGGAGAAAGTGAGATTAGGGGATTGAATCAGCTTTCCTAAAAACTTTTGGCTTGATTTTGTCACTTACTATGGTTTTTTTTTGTCACAAGTTTTAATAGATGGAAAAAAGTGTGTCTTTATTTCTGTAATTATTAGATGAGGCTTCTGATACTGTCTCTAGTTTTCCTTCGAGGAATATTATTAAGATAAATAAGCTGACATAAGTGACATAAGGGAAGATTCATAGAATTACTGCTTTTGTGGGTAAAAAATATACAAAGATTGGGGTGTGTGTGTGTGTGTTAAGTCGCTACAGTTGTGTCCAACTCTTTTTCAACCACATGGACTTTAGCCTGTCAGGTTCCTTAAACCATGGGACTCTCTAGGCAAGAATATTGGAGTGGGTTGCCATTTCCTTCTCCTGGGGATCATCTGAACCCAGGGATCAAACCCTGGTCTACCTGCATTGAAGGTTTATTCTTCACCATTGAGCCACTTGGGAAGCCCCATGATTCAGGTTAACATGCTACTTTTTAGTCTTTGAGACTAAAATGAGATCAAAAAGCACTTATTCCTTTTAACCTGCTTTTCTCAAATTTTTCCATCAGCAAATGGGACAGATCTAATCAATACTTCAAAAAGACAGTTGAACCTACACATTTCACCTCTATTACCTTTGACAGACCACTTTGAAACCACAATCACAGAAAACTAACCAATCTAATGACATGGACCATAGTCAATGAAACTATGAGCCATGCCGTGTAGGGGCACCCAAGATGGATGGGTCATGGTGGAGAGTTCTGACAAAACGTGGTCCACTGGAGAAGGGAATGGCAAACCACTTCAGTATTCTTGCCTCGAGAACCCCATGAACAGTATGAAAAGGCAAAAAGATAGGACACTGAAAGATGATCTCCCCAGGCACCCAATATGCTACTGGACATCAGTGGAGAAATAACTCCAGAAAGAATGAAGAGATGGAGCGAAAGCAAAAACAACACCTAGTTGTGAATGTGACTAGTGATGGAAGTAAAGTCTGATGCTATAAAGAGCAATACTGCATAGAAACCTGGAATGTCAGGTCCATGAATCAGGGCAAATTGGAAGTGGTCATACAGGAGATGGCAAGAGTGAACATCAACATTTTAGGAATCAACAAACTAAAATGGACCTGGAATGGGTGAATTTAACTCAGATGACCATTATATTTACCACTATGGGCAAGAGTCCCGTAGAAGAAATGGAGTAGCTATTATAGTCAACAAAAGAGTTCTAAGTGCAGTACTTGGATGCAATCTCAAAAATGACAGAATGATCTCTATTCATTTCCAAGGCAAACCATTCAATATCTCAGTAAACCAAGTCTATGTCCCGACCAGTAATGCTGAAGAAGCTGAAGTTGAACGGTTCTATGAAGACCTACAAGACCTTTTAGAACTAACACCCCAAAAAGATGTCCTTTTCATTATAGGGGACTGGAATGCAAAAGTGGGAAGTCAAGAAATACCTGGAGTAACAGGCAAATTTGGCCGTGGAGTACAGAATGAAGCAAGGCAAAGGCTAACAGAGTTTTGCCAAGAGAATGCACAGGTCATAGCAAATACCCTCTTCCAACAACACAAGAGATGACTCTACACATGGACCTCACCACATGGTCAATACCAAAATCAGATTGATTACATTCTCTGGAGCCAAAGATGGAGAAGCTCTATACAGCCAGCAAAAATAAGACCGGGAGCTGACTNTTTGGCCACCTGATGCAAAGAACTGACTCATTTCAAAAGACCCTAATGCTGGGAAAGATTGAAGGCAGGAGGAGAAGGGGACAAAAGAGGATGAGATGGTTGGATGGCATCACCGACTCGATGGACATGAGTTTAAGTAAACTCCGGGAGCTGGTGATGGACAGGGAGGCCTGGCGTGCTGCAGTCCACGCAGTTGCAAAGAATGGAACATGACTGAGCAACTGAAGTGAACTGAACTGAGATCACTTTGCAGCAACTGTCGTTTTAGGGTAGAATTTTACCAGTCAAAGGCCCATCATCTCAGGCCCATTGGATGGAATGGAGATCAAAAATCACAGTTGTGTTGTGAAACCTATTTTTTATTTCCTAATAAATAAAGCTCATCCAGCAAATCCTTTCAAAACAAGGGAAGAAAAAAAAGTTAAGTGGGTTGAAGGGGATGGGAACCATTACGGGGAACAGAGTGCTGCCTTAGGAGGGTCGTGACTGCCCTCTAGGGGTAAAAGACTCACTCTGCACACAGAACACCAGAAGGCAGTCAGCCTTCGAGCTCAACAACTAGAACCCTCCCTTTAACAGGATCCTGAATCTGTTTTTGTTGGTCATCATCACTACTTTAATCATGTAAGCTCACAACTCAATTTTTCCATTTCTCTTCCTGGCCCGTGGAGTAGGATAGAGACAGTGGCTAGTTTCATTGACAAAATGTCCCCTCGACTTTGCCTAACTCCATTTGCAGAAGTTCACCGAAGGCAAAGAGCTGATGTGGCATGTATGCTGGAAAATGCAATTCATTCAGCATCCTGGGAGGGATCCGACTCAGTGGTTTTATGAGGGCGGGGGAAGGGCAGTGCTGAAAGAAAATACTTTCCAAAAATATTTACCAGACAAAGAAAAAGAACTAGGCCTGTGACCAAGACATTCCAAGGAGACACCCTTCGACAGAAGCAATTTTCCAGACCTGCTCCCCAGAAAGGTAGAAATGGCCAACTCCCCTTCCACGCTCCAAAAGCCGAGCTCATACTTCTTCTAAAAATAAACACAGCTAGAGTCAGAAGACACCTTCCAAACTGACCATAATTCAAAAACAGACTCTGCTGTCACTTGCAGGGGAGTATGCAAAGGGCATTTTGGAGCCAGGCTTCTTGGAAAGGCTATAACCACTGACCTCTCTCACCAAAGGAGCTAGAGCTAGAGGAGGCACTTAAGTGAGACATTCTTCCAACAGAGTATTTAAAAAGAGATCATCCCAAGGCACATGAGGTGGAAGGTGGCCCAAGTCGGGAAAGGAAGTCATTCGTATTACATACTCCTCTCTTTCTGCAGAGAAGGTACTACAGTCTGAACGCTTGACTTATGATCCCTCTGGTTATGCTCACCTGAGCTTGGAGCACTCCCCAAAGCCTGCCATGCCTGCCAGCCCTTTTTTGCAGCCTACCACGAACCTCACGGCCTGGGACACTTGCAAGACCACAGTCATCAATCGTGTCAGTTCCCTGCAGAACAATCTTCAATGGCCCCAGCATGCCTTCTCCATCTATATGACTCTCAGAGCTCACTTCTGAGTTAGCCCTTCTTATACCTTAATCCACGCTCAGGCCAGTTTCTTTCCCACTGGGCCATGACCATGTCCATGTATTGACCCTCAAAATGACTCTTCCCTGGAGCCCTGTCCCCTCTGCCCTCGACTGAAGGTCTTCCTGTCCTCACTCCTGTGTGGGTTCCACCCGAGCCCTCGTGTAGCCTCCTTCAGAGCACGCCTGCCTGCCACAACTACAAACAACAGGATGATAGCTTCCTTTCATTGTGTGCATAGGCTCTAATATAATAGATACTCTGACCCTACTATGGGGCCTTTCAGGTGGGTTCGACCCCTGGATCAGAAGATCCCCTGCAGGAGGGCATGGCACCCCACTCCAGTATTCTTGCCTAGAGAATCCCATGGACAGAGGAGGCTGGCGGGCTACTGTCCATAGGGTTGCAAAGGGTCAGACACGGCTTAGCATGCATGCACGCACATGACCCTATTATACGTATCCTATAAAGTGCTTATTATTTTGGTGCTATTATGATGTCCACTGTACAGATGAGAAAAGTTGAGTGTCAGAGATTTTCAGTCTAAGATACCAAGCTTCTCTGACATCCACCCCCACCTTCCTCTCCACCTTATCTTGTACCACTTTTTCTTCTTACTATTCAAGTCATACTGTTTTTGTTTTTTTCTTAAAAGATATACAAAAAAAACCCCAAATTAAAAAAAAAAAACAAAAGTCAAGCTTATTCTCACCTGAGAGTTTTTCCACTGGCTTTAGTTGGGAATGGCCCGACTTTTGCAGAACTGGTTCTTGCTTTTATTATATGTCATCTCTCAGAAGCCGTCCTGATTCACCCTAAAACTGACTCCCCTTACCCCCTAGTTTTTCTTGATCCAGGCCTCCTGTTTCATGTTCTTCAAAGCACTTGTCATTTCTGGTCTTTTCTCACTTATCTGTTTATTTACTTGTTCTGCTGGACTATACATCAGCGCAACATAAACTCCATGAGAGTAGAACCTGGTCTGTGTTGTTCACGGCTGAACCCCCGGGAGCTAGAACAATGTCTGGCATTCACTGGCACATAAGCAAGAGCTGTTAAGTGGATACCTTACTCCAATATTCATGATTTTAGCCTCTACTTTATGTGATCTCTCCATAAATTATAGTGTTTTTGTACTTATGGTTTTTATCATGTAACTCAGCCATCATATATTTATGGTTTTAAGTCTTACATTGCTTGGTATGATTCCATTACATACAAACTCAACCTGTACGTATATGTTTAATCACTGATTCACATGAGCTGGTCTTGTTCTTCCAGCTAGAGCCTGTGCTCAGAGGACATCTGTATTTCCTAATTCATCCAGCAGAGGACGGATCAGACAAGGTCTCAGGCCATAATTGAGTGAACAGATAATTTTGTGATTCAGATGATGTGGGTGATATGAAGCATACTTTTTCCCCCTTTGTTGAACTCCATTCAGGAAACATCCTGAGTCTGAAGTCAAAGTTTTTTTTTTTTTTTTGAAGTCAAAGTTTTAAGGTTTTTCTTCTACATCTCCTGACAATTCATCTGTCTGGTTTTTGTCCTGCCCAAGTCCTGAGCCCACTGGCATTTCCAAGAGGTCCAGGCTGCATATAATCAGTGTTAAAAACAAATTAACCCCTTCTTGAGATTATTTTCTGCCTGGTTAACCTGAAGAACAGAAAAACATTTAAACTGGGAGAGTTATGCAAAGAATGCTAGATGGTTGGTCAATATACTTTGTGTCTGTAACATGTTTTCTTAAATTTTAATATTTGAAGAGTTCTCTGGAAATTATTCCTTAAAGAGGAAGAATTCTTTTGACGTATCAAGCTACATATAATATAGACAAATCAGGCTGCCATAAAGCACACACATACCCACAGAGAAAAGAACCTGTAAGACTAAACACATTTGCTTACACTGATTTTAAATTCTTATGAATTCACTTTTATACAGCTGTCTCATTTCAGAGAGAATTTCAGCTGTTGACAAATGTATACATCATCCAAGTTTGCATTTAAAAAATGTATTGTTGGCAAATATATACACCATCCAAGTTTGCATTAAAAAAATGTAAGTAAAAGAAAAATATGATAGTAAGAAGGTAACATAAAATAGACCTAAGTATAAGTTCAAAAGTTCATCCCGCATTAAAGTATATACATATTTGTTGGGTGGGCCACAAAATTGCCTTTAAACTTTCTTGCCAAGAAGTCCAAACATTCATTCAGTTTTAACATATGAGTGGATGACATTCTAGTATTTCCATTCCTGACAGATAAGCTAAATAAGAAGGTACAACTGCATTCAAAGCAGTTGTGAAGAAAGAATATCATCAAGAAAAACAAGTTCGTTAACGACAAATTTCTAAAGCACTTGGACAATATTTTGAGTTCTTAGAATGGCTAATATTCCTTTTCTCCTTTTACCTTAGTCCTACAGAAAAATCTTGCATTAAAAAAGGTTTAGCTAAGCAAGGTGGCTCAGTGGTAAAGAATCCACCTGCCAGTACAGGAGATGCAGGAGACACGAGTTTGATTCCTGGGTTGGGAAGATCCCCTGGAAGAGGAAAGGCTACGCACTCCAGTATTCTTGTCTGGAAAATCCCACAGACAGAGGAGCCTGGTGGGCTACAGTCTATGGGGTCACAGAGGGCCGGACACAACTGAGCACACACGCGAGCAGGACATATTCTAACTCTTGAAGCACCCCACCTCCCCACTTTGGCCAATTGTGAGTGATGCATACAGGAAATCCAGACAAAAGGTAAAGGTGTTAAAACACTTACGTGTCATCTGTAAACGTGATTCCAAAGTACTCCTTTTCTTTGAGGTTGAAATGAGAAGCCACGAGATCCAGCAACTCTCTTGATAAAAGTTTGGGCTGTTGAGATATAAACCTGATTAGACACTCTCTCTTACTGCTCCCACCTTATTCTCTCCCAAACAGTTTAAAGCAGCCTTTGTTTGTCTGTTTTGGATACCTATGCCTTTCTGCACTTAATCTACTGTAGGTCATTCTCTAAGGGTTTTGGAAGGGCAGGAAATGGGAATAGCAGCATCGCTGAGATGATCGCTTTCATATATTTGCAATCCCATCCAGAGCCTTAATTTTTCATCCAAGGTAAAATTGTATTTATTAATTGTTGTTTCAGGGAAAAAATGCTCTTTTATAAATAGTATGGTGCTATTTATAATAGTATATAAATATAAAATTTATAATTTTATAAATAGTATGGTGCTTGATCAATAGTGATCAAGACAAAGAATGTTAACCACTGCCTAGGCTGTAGGAATAATTTTGCTTGGTGACGGTCAACTGAGGAGGCTCAAGACCCAAGGCTGAGGGGTCACAGAGAGAACTAACAACAACAACAAAAAAAGGCAACAAAACAGTAATAGTAACCATTTATTGTACTGAATTTCTTCTACCCATGATTTCATTTTAATCCTTACAATGAGCCTTTGAAGTAGGGGTCCTTTCCATTTCATAGATGCGCCAACAAAGGCCAAGAGCAGCCAAGAATCTTACTTGATGTTCCACTTAAGGACCAGGTTTGAACCCAGTTCTGTCTGATTCCAAAGACTAAGCTTTTCATTTCTCTGCAGGGATGGAGTAACTGTATCCACTCTGTAGATCATTATCACCAGTACTCACTGGGCACCTCATTAGAAGAAGAACCCAGCCTATGAGCTTTTGGGAAGCACAGGCTATAGTGGTAAGAAGATGGTTTGGAATCAGTCAGAAAGTCCAGAGTGAGAGGGGATGGTGGATTTGCAGAGACTTGGGAAGGAAAAGGGGATCTGCAGGGAGGCATTCTAGATGGACTTTTTTTGAACTTTGAGCCACACAGTTTAGGACTTATTATGGTAGTTTGAGGGTTGGATGTTTGTTGTTGGGGAAGAAAGAATTGGGGATGTTTGTTGTTGGCAAAAAAAGAAGAAAGGAAAAAAAAAAAGAAAAAAAAGGAAAAGAGAAAAGAAGAGAAATAGAAATCTAGACCAAAAAGTCTACTCTGGTGAAACTATTACTGACTGTACTATTTTCGTTCTAATTGAAGCCTGTACATAGTGGACTCTGCACAAACCTCAGAAAGGAGAAGAATTTAGGTTTGGTCAAGGGAGGGAATTCTCCTCACAGCTATAGGTGTGGCTGTCAGCAGGCTCTTCCATAGTTTTTTTTTAAGACTATGATTCCAGGGACTTCCCTGGCGGCCCAGTGTTTAATACTCTGTGCTCCCACTGCAGGGGGTGTTGGTTCTATCCCTGGTTGGGGAATTAACAGCCCAGTCCTTGGCAGCCAAAATGTGAAACAAACAGCAACGAAAAAAAGAATCTGGGTCTAGAGTGTTGGGTGAATAGAGAGAGAAGCATCAATAATTAAAATACCATCATTCATATAGCTCCATGTGTTTTACAGAGATTTCATTCACATATATAATCTAGTTTGATGTTTTTTAATTTTATTGAAAAACAGTTGATTTAAAATGTGTTAACTTCTACTATAAAGTGACTCAGTTATAAATATATTCTTTTTTCGCATTTTTTTCCATTATGGCTTATCACAGAATATTGAACATAGTTCCCTGTGCTATGCAGTAGGCCTTTGTTTATCCATCCTATATCTACTAGTTTACATCTGCGAATTCCAAGCTCCCAAGCAGACTCACAGGCATAGAGAACAGACCTGTGGTTGTTACGGGGGAGGAGGTATGGGAGGGGAGGATTGGGAGCTTGGGATTAATCTAGTTTCATTTTAACCATAATTTCTGAGAGGAAGATGAGTCAAACTTAACCCCAGCTCACAGCTGCTGTAAGTGGGTATTTAACGTAGATCACGCCATGTGCAGGGCAAGCAGCAGAATGTGGAGTCTCAGCTCATAAAAACCCTTTCTGGGGGGCTCCACTGGTGGCTCGGTGGTAAAGAATCTGCCTGCCAATGCAGGAGACACAGGTTCGATCACTATCCAGGAGGATCCCACAGCAACTAAGCCCTTGCGCCACAACTACCGGGTCTGTGCTCGAGAGCCCAGGAGCCGCAATCACTGAGCCTGCATGCCCTAGAGAGCGCGCTCTGCAACCAGAGAAGCCATGAGAAGCTTCTCATCGCAGTGGGAGGCCAGCACACCGCATGCAGAGAGTGGCCCCTGCCTGCCGCTAGAGAAGGGCCCGTGTAGCAACGAAGACCAAGCACAGCCAAAAAAAAAAAAAAACCAACCCTTTCTGGGAACCATTATGGTCACCAGTTGACCACCAAGAGGTAATTCAAAGAAGCCAAGTCACTTGCCCAGGGTCAAACAGCTACTGAGGGTCAAAGCTGAGACTGGAATCCACACATCTCTGAATCCAGTCACCAGGCTGTAGTTACTCTCAAATACAGGTAGGTGTTGGCTTTGAAGGCCCCACAAGCAATCCTGTGTCGCTGGTTCTGAGGCACAGGTAGGCCGGCAGACTGCACACAGGCCACGAGGTTCGCAGAGGGAAATGGATGTGTGGTCCCCGCGCGGCGACACCTACCTGAACCAGCAGCTCCAGCCTCCGGTCATCCAGGAGGTGCACCCGGCACTGCCTGCCTTCCGTCATCTGTGGGGACAAGACAGAAAGAGTGGCATCAGCCCGGGGCTGGCGGGCAGACCCGAGCGCCTTACCACTTCTTTCCACGGGATGTGCTCGGCCTAAAAACGCCACGAGCTGAGGCAGTCCTCAGCTTTGGTCATCGTAAACAGATTTATTTTACGGCATCAGCTCTTAGATTTTTTTGCTTTAGCTCTTAGACTTAGAAAAGAACGAAAAGCAAAGAACACTCAGTATGTTGAAAATATAACGCCTATACAGCACATACAAACTTTAACTATGAAAAGCAGGTTTCCTGCTCAGAGGAAACAACTGTATTTTTCCTTGAATCAGTATTTTATTTTTCAAATGAAGATAGTTTTATTCATTGGTGTCTTTCAATAAACACAATACATGCATAATGTATTTGACAAACAAATTTGTCACATTTAACATAATGTGTTTGACAAATGAAACTCAACTTAAAAAGTAAAGTCTCCAGTTGTGAAATTTTGGTCCCCCTTTGTAATTTATCACTACTGTAATTAATAGTTAAGAATAGTTAAGATACCCAGTTAAGAACAGCTTGATGTACAAACTACTAATTATATTTAATTTTTTATCACTTATAATTGTAATATAAGGAAATTATTTCTTGAAAAATATTTAAATAATGCATAAAATGAAAAGATCCACTTTGATTACCAAAAGCTCCAAACCATTCTACCTGCACAAATTACCACTCTGTCAGTTTGAGGCAAATCCTCACAGACCATCTTTATATGGATTTTCAGATATACACACGTACATGTTAAAAACACATCAGTTCAGCCGCTTGTCGTGTCCGACTCTTTGTGACCCCATGGACTGCAGCATGCCAGGCTTCCCTGTCCATCACCAACTCCCGGAGCTAACTCAAACTCATGTCCATTGAGTCAGTGATGCCATCCAGCCATCTCATCCTCTGTCATCCCCTTCTCCTCCCGCCTTCAATCTTTCCCAGATATGTGTTAAAAACATATATTCTCATATTAAATGTTCTATTTTAATACTGTTAAATTAGACACATTGTTCTGAAATGAAGCAGGTACTCTTAATATTTGTATGTGTGTATGAGACTGTGGTATCTGTATCATATCTGGTATCTGTGTATATGAATATTTATATGTGTGAGGTTTTTTTTCAGTTCAAGTAGAACTGCTACACTCACTGTTTGCCCTTTGCTTTTTTAATTCAATATTTCTTAGAAATCTTTCCAATGTCAACACATATAGACCAACCTCATTCTTCATAGAAGGTCTATAGTAGCAAATCATTTGTGCAGACACATAATAATTCAATGAGTGCCTGTTGAGAAACACTTAGGTTGTTTTCTGCCTTTTGCTGTCACAAGCAATGTCACAATAAATTTTGCACATCTAGCTTTGTCCATGGATGTAGAACTGCTGGGTCACTGTTGAAAAGCAAGTGCAGCACTTTGTCTCTCAGCTGTTGTACAAAATTATAAGACCCCGGGAATTTCCTGGCAGTCTAGTGGTTAGGAAGGACTCCATGCTTTCACTGCTGTGGGCCCAGGTTCAATCCCTGGTACTGGAACTAAAATCCTGGAAGCCATGTGGCTTGGCCAAACCCAAAACGAAGCAAAACTGTAAGACCTGGAAACTCAAATACATATAATCCAATTTTGAAATGAAAATTGCCTCCATTACTGAGCAGCAACTACATACTCAGCATTGCTCGAAGTGTTTTTATAATATCTCTGAGTTCCCTAGTCACCATCTGAGCTTGGTGTTATTATCACCAATTCAATAGATGAGAAAATTGAGGCTCAGAGTGGGATAAGCCATGTGAAAGATACTAATTATAGTATTGTACTTACATTTTAAAAAAATCGGGGTATAGTTGCTTTACAATGTTATGTGAGTTTCTGCTGTACAATGAAGTGGATCCATTATATGTATACATACATCCCCTCCCTCTTGGAAAGTCTAGAAAGTAGCTCAGTTGGTTAGATGGTGGCATTACGGAGATGTGGCCCATAAAAATTCTGGAAATAGGGCTAAGAGGTTAAGTGAGTAAGTTCTACGTTGTCTCATTTCCCCTGATTATGTCCTTAAATCTGCAAAGCCAGGTCACACACAATCTTTGGTGACAAGAGGAAAGGAAACATATCTTTGTTTTAGGCACTAAGCTGGGAACGTCATGGAAACTACCTCATTAAAACGCCACAAAACTCGACAATACGACAACACCCCCATTTTACAGACAAGGAAACCAAGGTACACAGTTTAAGGTTAATTATTCAAATTTGCCTGGGCAAGAAAAAAACCAAGTTAAAATTTGAATTAATGTCTAAATGAAAAAAAAAAGTCATCTTTTTTCCTACTGTTCTTCAGGGCTTCCCAGGTGGTGCTAGTGATAAAGAATCTGCCTGCCAATGCAGGAGACATAAGAGATGTGGGTTCAATCCCTGGGTTAGAAATATCCTCTTGAGGAGGGCATGGTAACCCAATCCAGTATTCTTGTCTGGAGAATCCCATGGGCAGAGGAACCTGGTGGGCTACAGTCCATGGGGTCGCAAAGAGTCGGATACAACTGAAGCGATTTAGCAACAACACACTACAGGAGGAAATAAATCAATGTTTCAGTTTAACTCATTTGATCTCTTTTTAAAACCCGCAAGCAAACCCAAAGCCCATGCCCCAGAGGATAATATAAAAAAAAATACTCAAAAGACCAATGGAAACAATATGAACCCATTAAGGAATATGCCAAAACTCATAAAGTATGACAAAGTACTCTGTTGCTGCATAACCCAAATGAATTTATTTCCTGATTAAAAACAAAACAAAACCACTTCTTCTCCTTTCAGTTTTTCTTTGGATCCATCTTGATTTAGGTCAGTGTATCTTCCGTCAACACATAATTTTATCTCAGAGAATTTTATAGTAAATATTTTTTAGGTATATCTGGCCATCTCATGATAGACATAGGGAGTGGTGCCCATGTTTGTACAACTTGGTTAGTTGGTTCTAAGCCTTAGTTGATTGGATGAGGAGAAAGAGTGTTGACCATCTGATTGGTGGGCCAATCAGAACCTCAGTCCAGGGAATCTGGAATTGAGTATGAGTGGATGAAAATATGGTGGTTGTGGGGCAGCCATTATCTGCAGCATGTAGAGAAAAAGGAAAACCAACTGCAGGGAGAATGAAGGAGACAGGTAACTAGAAGGAGGCAAGGAAAATCAAGCAGCCTGAGAGGAAAAGCTTGAGAGCTGCCGTTAGAGTTCCCAGTGCCTTTCCAGTCATGTCTAGCCCATTCCACTGATCTAGGTGAATCCTTATTCTTTTTTAAAATTTATTTCTTTATTGAAGTATGGCTGCTTTGCAATATTGAGTTAATTTCTGTTGTACAGCCAAGTGATTCAGTTATACCTGTGCATACATTCTTAATTATATTCTTTTCCATTGTGGTTTATCCAGAATCCTTGTTCTTGAGTTCCATAAAACATCCCTGTATTCCTTTGATAAATCCACTTCCCCCATGCCCCTCTCTTAAGCTACCTTGAGTTGGAGCCTGCTTATTGCAACTAAAGGCACGTTCACAAGACACCACAAGTATCTATACTTTGTGCTAAGTCGCTTCAGTCATGTCTGACTCTGTGTGACCCCATGGACTGTGGCCCACCAGGCTCCCCTGTCCATGGGATTCTCCAGGCAGGAATACTGGAGTGGGTTGCCACGTCCTCCTCCAGGGGATCTTGCTGATCGAGAGATCAAGCCCGTGTTTCTTAGGTCTACCTGCACTGGCAGGTGAGTTCTTTAAAGATCCCAGAGTACAGACTCCCCAGATGATGTCATTAATATGGTACAATTACTCAGATTACTGATGCTCTCATCAAAGACAATACAACAGCTGGTGGGCAGTGGAAAGGACTTAACAAATACCCACCATGTGATGTGAGGACACACACACACAAGCTAGATGGAGAGGGCAGTGCAGACGAACTGGGGAGATGCCGCTACAGTTTTATGCCCACACTGGCATGTTCCAGCCCTGGCACATCTGAGCCCACAGGCCTCTCTAAGCCCTTTCCTATGTGGGAGGATGGCTCCTCTTGGAGGTCAAAGGGCTGATTTGATCATCGATAACAACAAAAAACCTGCCTGGTGTCAGCTCTTATACATAGAATGGATAAACACCAAGGTACTACTGTATAGCACAGGGAACTATACTCAATATCCTACAAGAAACCATAATATTCTAAAAAGAATATTAGAAAAGAATATTCTGTTCTTTAGCAAGAATATTTAGAAAAGAATATTCTAAAAGAATGTAAATACATGTATAACTGAACCACTAAGAAGAACCTGTCCTTGTCACTTACTTAAATCAAAGGTTGAGAGGTGATGGGATGTATTTTGCTGGTCAAAACAATGCTTATGAATAAATTTCAGTTGATGACACTAGAAATTAGGATATGCCACTTCATAAAATTTTAGATGGTAAGATCCAGAAACCGTGGGACGGATTTCCTTCACAGCTACAGGGTGAGGCTGAGCAGCCACCTGTGCAGATGGTGTTTGTGGTCTCTGGTTCACAAATGTGTATTATGTGCCAGGTTCCTGGGAGTCCTGTTATGTGAATAAGCAAAACACATTCAAGCACAGCTGATGCGAGGGAAGAGACACAACCAAACGTCCAAGAAGGCCTGGCATGCACGGGGCAAAGGGTCTGACTCCTGACCCTTATTAACATACAGTATCTCAAAATAAATGACCCAAAGTCAGGTAGTCCTAATTCAGAGCTTCCAGTGTAACAGGGTTTCTAAGAGAGTTTAGGGGGATACAAATTTGAAGTCCAAGCTACATGTGAACCAATGTGTTTATGTGTGATCACAAGAGAAAAACAGGAGAGGCTGCAGAATAAAAAAACCATTCATGTTTTCTTCTTTAAAGAAAAAAAAAATTACTATTTCAGTCTCTACACAAGCCTATGAAGGGGGAATCTCATTCAAGCACCAGGAAACT